TGTCCAGCTGTGACTTTTGGCTTAAGGGTGCACAGATTGCCCTCATCAATGTGCGTGCTTGGAGAAATGTCTTGCAAGTGGCCTGTAATGGGAAAAATTCTCAAGAGCTTAGCAAAATGCAGTTGATACCTTGAATCTCCTGGTGCGAATTTGGAGTTTATACTCTTGCGCTCAGTAGAGCACCACGAGCAGGTGGAAAGACCTGGGAGAAGAGCCAGGTCCTTTCCAGGCGTCTGCCATGCATGCTCCTTTCCTTCTTGCTTGGATTCCTCTAGTAAAGCGCAATTGTGCAAGGGCTGGGATCAAAGGCCTCAAACGCCTAACTGGATTCATCCAAGTTTTGTGTAAAGGCTTAGATGCAATGAAAACCAGAGTATTTGCTTTTATTTGTGGGTAGTATTAAGCATGTTAGACAAGCATACACTTAGGAACGGCTGTTACAGTGTGGGAAAAACGGCAAGTGCAGCTTTGATAAAGATACAGCATTAGGAAATCTGCTTGCTGCCTCCCTTTTTCTTCCCCTCTTCAAACGTTTTGCAAATAGTTTTCAGACGACTGTTTGATCTTAAATTTGCGTGTCAGCAAAGGCTATGCAGTTCTCTCAGGAATTAGCAAATCGTAGAACAGGGTTAACAGGAGTGTATTGTGGGCTGCTTTTAAATTCCTCCCTTGCGTGAGCCTCAAAACTGCCCTGGAAATTTCTTGCTAAAAAGTTTATCTTAAAAAGACCTGGAGCTATTTCAGGCTCATTGTTTCTGTTTTAGATTACCTATTTAGATGCATCTGTTTGATGTCAGCTGTTAAATTTTATCCAAAGAAGCATCTGTGGGGAAACAGTGGATTGAAAATTTGAGTATCTTCTGTGCCAGAAGACATTCTCCCCTTGAAACATGACTATGAAAGTCTCATGGTAATTGATAGGGTATCCAAAATACCTCTAGTACTCAGAGTGGGCTCTTCTTACTTACTGAGTGTTTTGGGGCTTTTTGACTTGTTTTCCAGATCATCATATAGCACAAACCTCAAGGACATACTCAAGCAAGAATGTACAGTCTCTTGGCATGTTAAACTTTGCTGCTACCACCTGAATCAATTCATAGTTGTTTGAGCGTTTCCCCACTCCCTTCCTGTATATAGAAGGATTTACACAGCCACCATACAGCCCGCTGGTGTGGAAGCCCCTGCTAGAGAGGGGGGACACACGATGGGCTTGGCGTGCTGGCTGCTGCTTGGCAGCAATTAGCGCTGGCTGTGCTGAGCGAGGGGCCTGCTGGATATGGGGCTGAAAAGGGGCTCTGGCCTTTTATTAGTGTATTTGTAAACACTGCTAAAAGGCAGGAGAGAAAGTGTCAGCCTCCGTTAGTTACTCTGTCAAATAGGGTTTCTTTTGGGTTTTGTTGCGATGGATTTTCTTAGTGTTTGTCCCCTCTTGAAACTCGCTCAGCCAGATCCTGTGTCGCAGGTTGGAAGTATATCATTTATTCTAGCTGCGGAAATAGGAACTGAGCTTACATTTGTTTGAGGCTGGTTGCTCTCTGGCTTTTTGAAGTTCCTGGGCTGACTTTTGAAAGTACAGAAGAATTCCGGCTCTCCCTCTGTGTACACAGCGATGCACGAGACCTTAGCTGGCTGGTCCAAATGACTATGCAGATTAATGATTGTCAGAAAAACTGGGCCTGAGTGTGAAAGGTTAGTTATAAATATTCACTAAGCTCACTCCCATCTCTGTTATGGTCCTCCTGTGAAAAACGATGGTAAATGTTGTGGATTGCCTCATTAGAGGGGCTCTTTTGTGAGGAGGGCAGAGCTCAGCAGTGCTCTTCCTCATCTTACCGAGCAGCAAACTGTCCCCCAAGTAGGACAGCTCGAGAGCCAGCATTGCCTTGGCCTGTAGGTACAGGCTTAGTACGACACGAAAATCAGGCCAGGAGTAGATGAGCTGGACATGAACTGTGGCCCTGTGGCCCCAGTGGTGTGGCCAGTGCTTAATACAAAAGGGTTGTGTCTCTTGAAAGTCCTCACCTGTGTCGTGATTAGCTTTGCTCAAACAATTCTTGATGCTTTAATGGGATGCAGAAATGACTGTTGTTAATTTCTCCATCTTGCTCAGCCAAGACTAGGCTAGATCCTTCTTTCTAGCAAATTGTATTTTGGATGATGGGAGTTACGAATCTCTTCTGCCTACTGAGCAGCGTTTCAGTGCTTAGCTATAGTTTTCAGCTATAAGAATATCTTTGTTGTATTTAAAATAGGTTTCTTTATAGCTTCAAAACCTCCTCCCTGTGCTTTTTTTAATAAATGTACCATTTAATTAATATCTTAAGTTGATGTTGCAAATTCTGAATTTGCTGTACTAAGACTGGGCCCAGTGAGTTGTTCATCTACTGACCTCAAAAAGGCAATTCAGGAGATAGGTAAGAAGAAAACAATTTTTAAGAAGCCCTTTGTTGCCACTGAAGGAGTTATTTAGTGGATTTTTAGTTAGAGACAGTTTGTAGTCTGATATTGGGGTTTTATATCCTAGCTAGTGTAACGGTGAATGGTCTCATGACACAGACTTCACAAAGAATGGATTTGAAAGCTGTAAGTAGTTTGTAGGCAGTGTTTTTGCAAGCTTAGTTTGGGCAGTAAGCTGCTCTTGAAACTTAGCATTTCATGCCATGAAATGAATTTCAAAAACATTTTTTACTATATATTTTGCACCCCTCTTCCCCTTCCCTGGTAGTTTGTGTTGGTACACAGTGTGGCTTTACGGGCATTATTGTCTTCAAACACAGAGGATGAAGAGTTAATTATTCACTTTTCCTAGGAAGTGGAAACTTGGACATATCTAAACCTTGTTTAAACATTGAAATCTACATTACTAGAATTTCCTTGCCCAGCAGTTTTTGGTGTGGGCTCCAGCGATGGCATGGAGTTAAAATATGTCTAGGAATTGTATGGTCAGCAGTTAAGTCCCTAATGAGAGCCAAGAAGCCTAAATCTACCTTGGGAAACAATGGAGGTTGAAGGAGGAATTTTGGTTAACACTCAGGGCTTTGTTAGGGGATCAAAATTTAATTAAAAATAATCTCCCCTTGATGTGGTCTCTGCACAGCAACCTTCCTCCTACCCCCACTCCTCACCTAGAGCTTGTCTGTGGAAGAGAGGCTGCTTTTGAACAGTGGGGTTTTGGTGGTGGTTTTTTTCCTGTGTACTTCCTTGCGTGTTCAGAATAACCTCCAAATGTGCTGTCCCACTTGATCTCTCAGCTGAAGCAAGTATAGTTACTTCCTTTCATATAGTCAAATTCAGTTTAAATCTAAGGCTTAGAAATGGCTTAATTCTATGCCCACTTTGTCACATCTCCAGTATTTAGCTTTCCTCTGACGTACCCCAAAAAAGTAAGTGAATCCAGGGGAAGTTAAGCTCCACGAGCGTCTCCTCGTGTGTTGCATTGGTTTTGTTGTTCTCTTCTCTGCTGTTCTCTTCTTTGCTGATGGGCAGGTGGACCTCTATGTTGTGTTAGGGGTCTCTGTAGCCCAAGCAGATGCTGTCATTGGATCTTTGGGGTTCGAGTTTCTTGCAAGAACTCAACAAAATAGTCTCTTTCTACTGTTCTTCTGCTCCATTCCAGGGGAAACCTCAGGGAGGAGCTTCCCTGGTGCTCCACACATGCTGTGGCACAGCTGCAGGGTTTAGACTGTCTCTGGGTTGAGCACCATGTCCTTTGGGTGGTTTGGTCACGTGTTCCTTTGCCAGCTGTATCTGTAGCCTCTCTGAGGTGCTGTGGTGAGATGAAGGTGTCTCCTACTCCAAGGAGGTTATAAGCTGTTTGTAAAGAAAGGCTGATGGAGCCTGGATGACTTCTCCTTTCTGACCTGCAGGGGATGCTTGGTAGATCAGAGGGGGCCATGTACGCTGTAGTTAGGCAGCTACCCTGAGTATGTGTTGGAGATATTGAATCAGCGTGAGTACCGCAGACACCTGCAGACAGGACCCACCTGTTTCAGGCATAGGAAGAAGTGTTGTCCAGACCGTGATTAGCAATGGTGTCTCTTGCCAGCCAGAAGTACCCAACCTGAACCTGCCTTTGCTCTTCTTCCAGACAAGGTCTGAGGACCAGGGAGCAAACCTATTTGGCTGTGTGCGATGGGGAATTGAAGCTGTTATGTTGAAGAGAAGTGCTTGCCAATTATTTTTCCTAGAAGGGCAGAGGTGCACAGCAAATACTGGATACTCCACCTGGCAGAAGGGTTCTAGTGTCTCTCTTTGTTCCTGTCTCCCATCCACTGAGTTTTCACAGGACATCCAGTGAATTATTCTTTTTATTTAGGCCCAAACTGCAGTTAAGCCCAGGTAACGTTTTTGGTAGCTTTGGGCTCCATGACTTCAGTATACTGAAATCAGTCTACCCGAGAAATTGCATACATGTACTTGTGTGACTTAGATGCACTCTGTGGTGTTGCACCTGTGGTGTTGTCAGTGTGTGAATTGTATCAAAGCGGCTGCCTCTGACTCCTGCTGCAAGGACACA